ACTCGAACCTGCAGCGGACTCTGCACCGACAGTTGGAGGGTCTTGCCATCCGAAAGAGTTGTTATGCAAACCAACTGAACGAACTGATATTACATCAAAGCAACTTTTCCTAATTATAGTTCGATCGTAAAAGTTAATTCTCCTGCGGACACTCACAGCCCTTCGTACGAATGGGTCGAGCAGAGGGTGAACGAGGTGGCCCCGACAGGAACATAAATACCCTTAGTGCATTAGGAGATGGGGCGGTTGTAATTGTATTTAGTACTCAATTGGAAGGTCTGCAAAAGTTGTGGACAGAGCCGAGTAAAGGCTTCATCACAATGACGCTAAGCACCTCGGACAAAGAAATATCATTATTCGAACGCTAGTCGAGGAAATGACAAGTCACATTTTCGGTTTTCTTATTTAAGAACGGCCTTCCGGACATATTTAATCCATACATATTCAACGGAGACTTTGTTGATCGGGGCAACAATTCCATTGAAGTGCTTGTCATCCTTCTCTCCTGCCTCTTAGCTCATCCTTCAGCAGTTTATCTCAATCGTGGGAATCACGAAGATCCAATGTTGAATAAGCGGTAAAGCCGGTGAATCAGTAATGCATGCCTTTCCATTAGCACCATTCCAATTGTTATTTTCTTCCTTTGAGGCAGATATGGATTCGCTGACGAGGTTCGCACAAAGTATCCGGTGGGTATGATTTCCTAATCATGCACATTAAGTGTTTGTGGCCAAAATTTGATGATCTCAGTCCAGGTTGATGTAGTGAGTAGATCAACTGCACTTTGACCTCGTCTTTAAACCTCTCTAGGACCGCATAGAACGAAAGGAAACGCAGCAGCTTGTCCATGTCACTCTGCGACTAGAATGGTTCATTTGTTTTTCTCTTAATTCAGATGCTAGAATTTGCTTTCCATTAATAGGCGAAAAAGCAGAGGCCTGCAGAAGATGATAAAGGGCTTAAAAGATATGCAATGCCTTAGAGTTCCTAGAGTCAAGTTTTGCAGACATAGTTGGATAGTCTTCACTGCCACTTTGGAACAGATTAAATGCAACGCCCACCTGTGAACATTAAAACTCTTCTGTTGTTTTTATTCTCCGTCCTGTTAATCCCCTTTGGCACCACTTCGGAGTCTTGGAAATGAGGGTGCGCTGTGTGACACGCACTAAGTTGTTATTGAACTACCCCGTCCTCCCTTTCGTGTAGAAACAATGCAAAAAAATTTTGAAGCAGACGGAGCTTCTTTTCTGCAACATTCCACTCTGCACAATCTTGGACGACGTCATTCTTGTGTGTCATGGCGGAATTTCCCGAACAACCGACTTTACTAAGGTCACAAAACTCGATAGGAAAATGGTAATTCCAAAACTTTCCTTCTTATCTTCCATTCTTTAGTGTAGAAATTTGCGCCATCATGTAGATCAGAAATGACTTTTGAAATAAATTGGGAAATAAACGATGCGGCTTTCCTTAGTCCATGAAATAGAGTAAATGACTGTCAGCAGAGCTAATGACATTTATCTGTTTCACAAACAAATTAAGCAATCCAACGGCCCTTTTGTCTCTCCTCTCGAAGGAGTCTTGATTGCTCACTTATTTTAACCACAATGGGTAAATTTTGATGCACTGATGGTATCACCATTGCAGTCGCAATTTGGCTGGTTCATCCACGTTTTCCTTTTCCAGTTTTCCTCAGTTCTTCAGCCCTCTTTGGATGGGGAAAACGCAGTCTCCATTGACGACTGGCGACAGGTAAGTTTCTTCTTTGATGAGATATTTTTACCAAAAGGATTCTAAATAAATCCTTTCTTCAAGATACAGAAATATTTTTCTCTTAGCCTTTAATCCCTTTTGGACTTTGACATGTGGCAATAACAAGGAGCTTTAAAGGATAGCAATACTTCCAAGATTCGGTAGTAATCATGAGTTTGGAATGTCGAAAGAGGTGGAGGAAGAGACGCTAAAAAGAGACCTGGACTAAGTTAATAATAACGAGTTGGTGTATTCCATTTGATGGAATAAATTTGGCTCTCCAATTTTCAGAGTCTGGTTTAATGCTACGCTACGTCATTTCTTTGCAGTAGAAAGGAGACAAATAAATTATAGCCCAGAGGATTGTAAGTGTCCTTTGGTTTCCTCTTTTATCACCATGTAAGTTGATGGGAATGCATTAATAATGTGCTTAACGAAGGCACAATAGCCTATGAAATTGTAAAATCACCAGTCTACAGGAGGTTTACTAAAGCCATTGGCATGGTTCAAGAGTCCGTGTAAAGATAATGCAACAGTGGAGAGGCCCTCCTGGTCAAAATTTCGCGTCAGCAATCACAACGTGGTAGATGCTGTAGGAACAATCAACCATAATGCAAC